GGGTCCCGGGGGAGTGCACTGGCTGTGTGCTCAAGCCTCTTTGGCACCCAAGTCCTTCCCTTCAGGTGCTGAGCTGGGCTCTGGGTGGGTGGGGTTTTGCAGCTACTCCGGAGTTGCCTCTGCTGTCGAGGGGAGGAAATCAGGTGAGGTCTTGTCCGCCTCTGGCCACATCCATTCAAAGACAAACCTGCCTGCCTTTCTCCAAGGACATGTCACTTGTCCTGTATCTCAGACAGACTGGCCCCACTGGTGATCAAGGAATCTGGGAGAAGGTTCTGCATGGCTCCCTAGTCCAGTGACTCTTGCCCCACTGAGAGGTGCTTTAACCTCTCCTAGCAGTCTCTTCATGTTCTGCCCCAGATGAGGGTCTCCTTTCAGGCACTAGAGTCGCTTTAGCCAGTCTGCCGACTCCACCCGTCCTCAACCCCTGACCCAGGTTGGCCCCAGGGCCTCTTCCTTTTGCCCTGATCATGGCCCTGGGTCCCACCCTCCGAGGCCAGGCAGTGGGGGTCCCCAGAGCAGAAAGGATGCGGTGTATCTGCCTCCCTCCGTCCCCTCTGTGCAGTGACCACAGCGGCTGGCCCCGTGGCCTGGGACGTGAAGAGCCTGGTGCGGTGCCTGCGAGCGCTGCTGATTGAAGACGTGCACCCGCTGCACCCCACCGTGCCCCCCTGCCCTTCAGGGAGGAGGTGAGCCAGGTGGGGGGCAGGCCTGGAGGGCTCCCTCCCCCCGCCCCTCATTCCTCATTGGCGGGTCTGCTGTCTGACCATCCCCTGTGAAGCCCTCCTTTCTCAGCCCAGGGTGCAGTGGGCAGGAAGCCCACACGCTCAGTCAGTCAGCTGGATGCCCACTGCTTTGGCTTCTCTGCTGCCCTGAGCCGTAGAAGATACCACCCCCAGAGAGGGAGGGACTCCAGCATCATATACCCAACACACACAGAGCGTACTCAGCAAGTGTGGTTTAGAGAGCCCGGTATTGAGTGAAGCTGGGCCTTTAGGCCTCTAGGTAACCCTGGCCAAGTCATGTCTCTTCTCTAGGCCTCAGTCTCCACACGGGTATAATGAAGAGGTTGGACCAGAAGACTGATGGGGTGGAGGTGGGAGCAGGGTGGGCCCCACCGTGTGAGGAAGGCATCCCCCTTCGGTGGCGGGGACTCTGGGGCTCACACCTACGATTCCCATAGCCGGGGTTTCTGTTGCCTCCATTTGGCTGTAAGGAGTGCTCTGTCCTCGAAATCCCTCCTCCCCGACCTCCCACGCCCCGACAGCTCCCCCCTGCCCTGCCTCCCCTTTGAGAATTGCCTGGCCAGTCTCTTCACCCCTGTAAGCCTCAGGTTTCTACCACACCGGGTGGCTGTGCAGGTTAAATGAGCTCACAGTAAAGCACTTGGCAAGGGGCTGGGTCACAGCTAAATAGGCAGCTCGAATTCTGTCTCATCTCTGTGTGGGCTGAGGGAGTGGGCATGGCACGAGGCTTCTCATGCCCTGCTGCGGGGCTGAGGTGGATGGAGGTGAGGGGTGAGGTGGTACCCTCTCTCTAAATCCTGAGGGATACAGGGAGAACACAGGGCAGAGCAGGACGAGCTCCAGGCCCTGACTCGGCCTCTGTCTCCCCAGGTCATCCCCTTCGCTATCCGCCCTGCCATGTATGCCTTCTTACACCTGTAGGGCGGGGGTCCTTTTGCTGAGGGAGGGGCCACTCTTCTGGAGAAGCTGTATGTCTGCTGGGACTCAGATATGGGGCCTGGTGGAAATGGGGAGGGGGCTGGTGGCAACTTGAGCCCTAGGAGGGGAGCTGCGGGCCTGGGCTGGTGGGATGCCTCTGGCTAATTGTGTGACCTTATGCAGCGAGTCACCCACTCAGGCCCCGTCTTCAGAATGCACACATTCCAGGGGTGGTGCTGGTGAGAGCAGAGTGTTTCTTTGGGTCTGACCTCCCTCCCTGGCTTATCTACCGAGGGGAAGCTGGGTGGTGGGAGCCAGCCGTTGGCTGAAGGCTGTAACTGACCAGCTCTGTGTCTGTGGTTCCTCAGTAAGGGGGACATTGTGGACCCCAACATGAAGGACATGGTCAGCCAGCTCCGCCTGCCAGACCCACTCAACTGTTTCTTGGCCCGGATCCTGAAGTACACAGTGAGTGTGGACCCAGAGCGGGAGGGACTCGGGGGGGAAAAGGGCCCAGAGAGGACAGGGGCTCAGAAAGGGGAGGGGCTCCCAGGGGGGTGAGGTCGGGTCAGAGAGGAAGAGGAGGCCCAGATAATGTGGTGGTTCAGAGAAGGGCTCAACAGGAGAGGAACTGAAAGAGGGGGGATGGGGCCAAAAGAGAGGAGTGCTCTCAGAGAGGGGAGGGGCTTCAGAGAGGCTCAGTGACTGGGCGTGTCAGTGAGAGGGAAGGGGATTTAGAGCGGGTGGGACTTAGAGAGGTCCCAGGGCTTGGTGTGGTGGTCAGGGGCTTAGGGACAAGCAGAGCAGAGTTGCTCTTCCTGGACCCCTGTCCCGGGCAGGCTGGTGTTGCCCTGTGGTTTCTGAAGTCGCTCTCCCCATCTCTCCCCTCCTCTGGGAGCCCCGGACTGGCCAGAATTTGGAAGAGATTCATGGAGTGGGGTGAGTAGTCGAGTCTCCTCAGGTCCAGCTTACAAGGGTTTTCCATGGGAACTGGATGAGGGTCACGTGGCTGCGGGGAGCTTGTCTGCTGGGGACAGGGCTGTTTAGACTTTGGGATCTAATTAGCGTTTTAGAGTCGTGCCTGACATGGGGTTAGATTTAGACTTTTGGGTGTGGCTGGGACCGGGGCTGGGGTTAGATTTGGAGTTGAGCTCTGAGTGCGTGCTAGAATTGGGTTAAGCTGGGATAAAGGTTGGGCCTGAGTTGAGGTTAGGTTTGGGTTGGGGTTGGGGTTAAGGTTGGAACTGTGGTGGGGATGTGGCTGGGAGAGGAGGCTGGTTTGGGCTTGGCCTTGCTCTTGGGCTTGGCCTGGTGTGCTTGGAGTTGAGGTGCTGTTTGGAATCTGGGCTGGAGCAGCCTGAGGGCTGACCTGGGGCCTCGCAGTTTAGGGGAGGGGACCTGTGATTTTTGAGGGGGACTGTGGGTCCCTTTGGCTGGTGGTGGTGGTAGGGCTCTGATCAGGGGATGTGTACTCTTGGGAACATTGGACAGGCAAGGTGTCTTGGCCAGGGGACAAGATACAGGGTGATTCCCTGTAGCGGCTGCCAGCTGATATGCAGCCAGCATTGAGGCCAGACCCTGCCTCCTGGCTGTCATGTCCCCATTTGTATGAAAAGGAGTCCTCTCGTGCTGACCTTTGGACTTCTCAGTCTTCCCCATTCCCCAAGGACACCCAAGAAACTGTGAGAGCAGCACACAGCAGTGGAGGCGATGTATGCCTGGGGAGACCTTGAGGGACTGCTGGAACAGGGGCAGCAGACACCTGAGTGATGACAGGAGTAGCCCAACGGGAGGTAGATCTCTGTCTTGGCCGGCAGGGCATGCCCAGCTGCACCAGGATGGCGACCTAGGAGGTTAATGTAGTCTGCCTCCCTGGGGTCAGGTTGATGCATTGTCCCCCAATCACTGTAGCTTCAGACTCCCCTTCCCATCCCTTCGCCTTGGCCCCTGGGAAGACCCTGACATCCCCCCGTCCTGCCCCCATCTCAGTCTGCATCTCACAGCCTGGGGATTCTTCCTGGTGTTTAAGCTGACTCGGCCTGGCAACACCTGACCTTGTCCTGAAAACACTGACCTCTGCCAGTCTTACCCTCCTGCCCACCACTAGCCCTGCAGGCATATCAGCAAGAGTTCATAGCCAAGTGGATGTCCCTGGACCTGGACGTGCCGCTGGCACCAGCTCTGGAGACCCTGCCTTCTATATCGGCTATCCTGCCATGGCATCAAGTGAGAGGGCACTGAGTCTTGGCGGGGGTGGGGTGGGTGAGACTAGGAGTCCAGGACCTTTGAGTCCTGCCACAGCCTCTGTGGCCTTGACCTCTGATGCTATTCACTATTATAAAATGTTTTCTTAAGTTGAGAAAAAAATCAGATTACATAAATTCACCATTTAAAGCGTACAACTCAGTGGGTTTTAGTATATTCAGAATGTCATGCAACCACCACCACTATCTAGTTCCAGAACATTTTCATCGTCCTGAAAAGAAACCCTGTACCTGTTAGCACTCACTCCCAATTTCCATTCACTTTTTTTTTCTGTTTTCTTTTGGCTGCGTCCTGCAGCTTGTGGGGTCTTAGTTCCCGGACCAGGGATCGAACCCGTGGCTTCTGCAGTGGAAGCGTGGAGTCCTAACCACTGGACCACCAGGAAATTCCCTCCATTCACTTTTTTTTTTTCTCCATTCATTTTTTTTTTCCATTCACTTTCTAAATAAACTTTATTGGAGTATAATTTACATGCAATAAAATTCACCAATTTTGAGTAACTTGATGAATTTTAACAAATGTATATATACATGTATAACCACCACCATAATCAAAATATAGACTATTTCCATCATCCTCCAAATTTCCCTCATGTCCTGTTGCAATTCATCCCACCCCTACCTCCAGCAACCACTGGTCTGCCTTCTGTCACTACGGTTTTGCCTCTTCTAGGACTTCATATAAATGGAATCATGAGGTATGAGGCTTGGGGGTCTGACTTCTTTCTCTTAGCATATCCATTCACTCTTTTTTAAAAAAAATATTACATTTAAAATATTTATGTATTTAGGCTGTGCTGGGTCTTAGTTGCAGCACGTGGGTGGGATCTTCCTTGCAGCATGCAGGATCTTTAGTTGCGGCATACGGGATCTTTAGTTGCGGCATGCGGGACCTTTTAGTTGCAGCATGCAGACTTCTTAGTTGCGGCATGCATGTGGGATCTAGTTCCCCGACCAGGGATCGAACCCGGGCCCCCTGCATTGGGAACGCAGAGTCTCACCCACTGGACCACCAGGGAAATCCTCAAATGTTACGTTTTTATTTTTATTTATTTTTTGGCCCCACGGCATTTGGGATCTTAGTTTCCTGACCAGGGATTGAACCCACGCCCCTTGCAGTGGAAGCGCAGAGTCTTAACCACTGGACTGCCAGGGAAGTCCCCCCTATTCACTCTTAACATGCTTTCTGCTGCCTCACTTACAAAGGCGGCCTCAGCCCAGGCCACCTGCAAATGCAAGCCTCAGCACAGGGCAGCAACCCATCCCCAGCGCAGGTGCAGGTCTCAGAGGTGATACCATGCAGAATGCAAACCCACCTCAAGCCTGGAGTCCTCTCCTCTGGGTTCCCCCACGTGGCTGCCCAAAGGCACACCCCACATCTGGCTCTGCTCTAGTGCCCTCTGTCCACCTCACTGCTGCTTTGATGCTCACTCCCTGCACACAGGTGGCTGCTGGGAGGAGCTGCCTTTTCAACTCAGGATTGCACTGCACACTCCAGCCCTCTTGGAGCCCCATGTACTTGAGGACATGGCTGAATCCTCTGCTGCCCACTAGCTGTGTACCTGTGTACCTGTCTGCCACCTCGGTTTCCCATTTGTACATGCGGGATAGTAATCCGCATCTCACGGGGTGGAGAGGAGTCAAGGACTCAGCAACACAGAGAGGGGAGCACAGTGCCTGGCACTTGAGTAAGGCTTTGCAGAGCGGATTCTTTTTTAAAAATTTTTATTGGAGTACAGTTGATTTCAATGTTGTGTTAGTTTCAGGTGTACAGCAAAGTGAATCAGTTATATATATATAATAATAATCAGTTATATATATATCCACTCTTAGATTCTTTTCCCATATAGGCTATTACAGAGTATTGAATAGAGTTCTCTGTGCTATACAGCAGGTTCTTATTAGTTATCTATTTTATATATAGTAGTGTGTATATGTCAATCCCAATCTCCCAGTTTATCCCTGCCCCCCCATCCCCTGGTGACCATAAGTTTTTTTCTACATTTGTGACTGTACTTCTGTTTTGTAGATAAGTTCATTTGTATCCTTTTTTTTTTAAGATTCCACATATAAATGATATCATATGATGTCTTTCTGTATCTGACTTACCTCACTCAGTATGAAAGTCTCTAGGTCCATCCATGTTGCTACAAATGGCATTATTTCATTCTTTTTATGGCTGAGTAATATTCCATTGTATATATGTACCACATCTTCTTTATCCATTCCCCTGTTGATGGACACTTAGGTTGCTTCCATGTCCTGGCTATTGTAAATAGTGCTGCAATGAACAATGGGGTGCGTGTATCTTTTTGAATTATGGTATTCTCAGGGTATATGCCCAGTAGTGGGATTGCTGGGTCGTATGGTAGTTCTATTTTTAGTGTTTTAAGGAACCTCCATACTGTTCTCCATAGTGGCTGTATCAATTTACATTCCCACCAGCAGTGCAGGAGGGGTCCCTTTTCTCCACACCCTCTCCAGCATTTACTGTTTGTAGATTTTCTGATGATGGCTCTTCGGACTGGTGTGAGGTGCTACCTCATTGTAGTTTTGATTTGCATTTCTCTAATAATTAGTGATGTTGGGCATCTTTTCATGTGCGTTTTGGCCACGTGTGCAGAGCGGATTCTGATTTTCTCCTTCCCTCTACTGTGGGGAGCAGGAGATAGCGGTCAGGCCGACCCCCTGCACTGAACTGGCTGTTACAAGCAGAGGGCTGCAGTTCCAAGAAGGACCCTGAGGGAGTGCTCGCCCACATTCTTTCCCACTGAGTCTTTTCTGAGCAGATAATTTTCTGGGCTTACCTGGATCTTCCTACAGGTAGATCTTCCTACTTGGCCCTGTACAACATCCTGAATTTCCCTGCCGGTGTGGTGCCCGTCACCACCGTGATGCTACAGGATGAGGAGGAACTGGCCTTCTACAGGGGCTACTACAGAGATCGTTCCGAAAAAAATTTCCAGGAGGTCAGTTTCCCTCTCTGCCTCTCTCCCTGTTGGGGTGGGGCCGTCCATTCCTGGTGTTCACCCTTTATGACTTCCGATGCAGTTTCACCCCATCCCTGACACACTATTTGACCTCCAAGTCAACCTCTGTCCCTGTCAGGGGAGAATACTTTGCAAAAGCAGTGTTTTCCTTAACACTTCTGTAGGGAAAGTCGATCCCAGAGGCAGGGTAGGCGGAGCAGGGCGAAGGTCCCTGGTTAGGAGCTTACTCTGTAACTGAACTGGACACTGACCCTCTCTGGGCCTCAGTTTCTTCCCCAGGGAAACGGGATTTCAAACATCTACCTTGCAGGATTGTGCTAAAGTTTAAATGGAAAAAGAGTGAAGCAATTAACATAATGCCTTGTATGTAGGAAGTGTTCAATAAAGGCCACTATTACTAATTCAGAGAGGGCTTCACAAAGGAAATGGACCTATTTAATTCATGGTCTAAAATAACAACCCTGACTTGGGTGAGAGAGAGGAAGAGAGAGAGGGAAAGAGAGAGACTGGCTCTGAAAAGTATGCATGTGTCTGAGTCAGACATTAAGTAACTTATTTTTTCTGGAAATTGATTTTAGTGCTAGAGTTACCCAGTGGAACTGCTGACCTGAATTCTGAGAAGATAACAATAATGATACTATCTAATGTGTTTTGAGCTCTTACTCTGTTCCAAGAGCTGTTTAAAAGTGCTGTATATATATTAAATCATTAAATCCCATAACTGTCCTGTGAGGTTTTGCAAATGAGGAAATGGAAGCACAGACAAGTTAAGGGACTTGACCAAAGCCACACACCCAGCTGAAGTGAAGGAGCCAGGACTTGAAGCCATGTGACCTGGCTCCAGAGACAAAGGCAAATAAGGGCTTATATGATATTGTCATAAAGCAATGAAAACATGTTTGAATGCCTACGACTATGCTTGGACTTCATGGCAGGGACTCAGGCTCAGCCCCTATGTTCCTGGGCCTGTGTTTGGGGTCAAGGCGCCCCTTTCATTGCAGAAGTGTAATGAGACTCTGGGTCAGGGATTTGCACATTCTTCTTTCCTTTGCTGAGAACACTGGGGTGGATACTCGGTTTTATATTTCATCCTTATAGTCAGCTCTCTACACAGGGAGCGAGTTTTATATCTTAACCCTGGAGAATTGTAGCCAAAGCAGAACTGTTTTCCCAGGTTTTGCTGAGAGCTGAGGAAGCCTGGAAATCTAAGATCCAGAACATCTCTACCTTAATATAGACTGGGGGTGAGATATTTGGATTAATGCACACCTGAAGGTGGTGAGGAAGGCTGGACAAGGGGTCTGTGAGCAGGAAGCAGGCTCTGAGTACACAGACCCTCTCTCTATGCAGGTGGTGAGAGGATCTGTGGGGCTTTCGGCGACTGTGCAGGGCACTGCTTTGCCATGAGAAGAGGAACTGTCTCCGGTTCATGAAGGAGGTGGAGGCCTTGGTCAAGAAGCACAGGGAATCCAAGCGACAAGACACTCCTTCTCCTGGAGGCCTTTCTACATCCTCACTTAAGTCTGCTCTCGATGTCCCTTCCTTCTCATGAATACCAGATCTGCCTCATTTCTCCTCCTCCTGGAAGCCCACCAGAGTTTTTCTTTGTTATCCCTCTGCGTGTCTGCTCAATACAGATGCCCCAGATTATCCCAAGATAGGGAGCAGGATTAAGTGCTTAATAAACATTTTGACTGGCCAGCCTTGTGATCTCTGGTCTAGGTGGGGAGGTGGGGCTGTAGCCTCTGGGTTGTCTTCTGCCTCCAGCTGCTCTCCTCCAGCTCAGTCCCCAAGATGCTGTCCCACATTGCAGCAGAGGGGAAGGAGCCCCAAAATGAGGGGTTGGAGACCTGGGTCCAAGTCTTGGCTCTGCTACTGGCTTGCTGTGCAATGCTAGGCAAGTTACTTCCCCTCTCTGGACCTCAGTTTTCTCATCTACAGATTGAGGGGGTTAGACTTGATGAGGTCCATGGTACCTGCCAGTACTTGACTATTAGTGAGCTGTGATTCCTAGGCACTTCTTTGATCAAGAACTTGCCACGGCTCCCACTGATTTCTAGAGAAAGTTACATAGAGCAAGGCCAAGGGAGTGAAGCAGAGTCAGAACAGACCCTGTGTTGGGACTTAAACCCTGCTCACAGTCCAGCTGCTAATTAAAAAAAAAAAAAAATTATTTATTTTTTTGGGCTGCATTGTGTCTTTGTTGCTGTGCATGGGCTTTCTCTAGTTGCGGGGAGCAGGGGCTACTCTTAGTTGTGTTGCGGGGGCTTCTCATTGTGGTGGCTTCTCTTGCTGTGGAGCACAGGCTCTAGGCACGTGGGCTCCAGTAGTTGTGGCACGTGGGCTCAGTAGTTGTGGCACATGGGCTTAGGTGTTCCGCAGCATGTGGGATCTTCCCAGACGAGAGCTCGAACCTGTGTCCCTTGCATCGGCAGGCAGATTCTTAGCCACTGCACCACCAGGGAAGTCCCCCAGCAGCTGATTATTTTGGCCTGACACCCAGCACCTCCTGAGGGCCTCCACAGCCTCCTGTGGCATGGCTCCACCATAGCACAGCCTCCCTCCATTCCTTCAAATGGGAGCCTTCTTGCCAGCACAAAGGGTGCTTCTGCCTCTGTTCATACTGTTCTCTTTACATAAACATCACCACGGTTTTCTCTGCCCTTCAAGCCCTGTTTCAAATGCCACTTCCTCCAGGAAGCCTTATTTGAGCCCTCCAACTTCCCCATGATCTTCCCTCCACCTGAACTCTCTTGAGGTTCTCCCCCATCAAAACTTCCCCTTCCTCTATCCCGTTCCTCTTTGTAGCCCTAGTTCCAATCAATCTGGCAAACTAATGAACTCATTCCTCCCTGTGTTTGATAGCCCAGATTTCCTGGAGATGATATCTTTTTTTTTTTTTTTTTGGTTGCATTGGGTATCTGTTGCTGCGTGGTGTGCAGGCTTCTCACTGCGGTGGCTTCTAGTTGTGGCACGCGGGCTCAGTAGTTGTGGCGCACAGGCTCAGTTGCTCCGCGGCATGTGGGATCTTCCCGGACCAGGGCTCGAACCTGTGTCCCTCTGCATTGTCAGGCGGATTCTTAACCACTGTGCAACCAGGGAAGCCCAGGAGATAATATCTTAATGCAGATGAATGGAATTCATCTATCCATCCATCCATCCATCTGTCCTACATTTGCTGAGTACCTCCTCTGAACACAAATGATGGGATTTTAGGCAGAAAAAGGCCTGAGTTTAACTAAGATGGAGACCCCAGGAATCACACCAGAAAGGCAGCCCTGATTCTACTTACAGTAGAAGGAATCATTTGGGTTGTTCAGGTGTAGGCTGGACAGGGCTATTGCTGACCTCACCATGGCCTCCTTCTCTCTCCAGGCTCTACTGCAGAGTCTGAGATCTCTGCTGGAGAAGGATCCTCATGGTTCCCCCTCAGTCAGGGTTCGTAGGGCTGGCTCCTACTCTGTCCTTCCTCCCCCATAAAAGGGAGGTCTAAGAGGCTCATAGATGTGGGCGGCAGAGAGGTTTTCCATCTCAAGTGCCTCCTGCCTCCTTTCCCTGCGTCCCGCTGGCTGCACCAGTCTGGGCACCAGGGGGCAGCATTGAGCTTCACACAGTCCAGACATTACCTGGCCGCCTCCCGTCATCAGGTCTTTCCCAGACTTAACTCCATTGCGCAGATCGCAGATCAGGAAACTAGCGGGTGGAGATGAGATTGGAGGACCAGGAATAAGCCAGGTGCATTTGCAGATTTTAGGAGATGGGGGCAGGATCCTATTTTTGGCTGAAATCAGCCTGGGGAAAGGGAGTGGCAGATACCAGCCCAAGGGGCAAAGTGGGAAACCTCATCCTGGGCACGACTTCCCTACAGGCTGGGCTTCTCTCATTTCTCTTGAGCTGACGTTTGGGGTCAACAATTGCCTTTCTCCCCAGTCCCAGCTCCATCTCCTGTGCTGACCTCTAATCTCTCACTTCCTGCCAGCACCATCTTCAGCTGAAATCACTCCCTGGTCTGTGTGACTGTGGGCAGGTCATTGGCTTCCTCAGAGCCTTTCTTCATAGGGGCTTCTCTGAGGCCTGCGTGGGTGCATATGGGACCTCCAGGGACAGGGCAACGCATCCCTCTCCCCTTCCCACTCCATCAATACTTCCATCGTGGAGGGCTTCATCTGAGTGTCCACATGTCCAGGTTCCGGCTCTGCCTCCTCCGAGGCCTTGGGCAAGTCTCCCAGCTTCTCTGAGCCTCAGTTTCTTCTGTAAGATGGAAATAATGATTACATATGACACGGCCTCAGGATGAGACATCCACAGAAGGTGAAGGCCAGGTGGAAGAGGACATGGGCTGCCCCTCCTCAGCCTGGGAGTCACAATGGGGATAGAGGCTGGTTCAGGTCTAGGAGTCTGTGTCCAGAATTCCCAGGGAAGAGCCAGCTCCTCCAGGGGAAGCCAATCTGAGAGCCTGAGGTTGGTTCACTCATGGGGAGGAGTTTAGCTCAGTAACAGGATATTTCCGGGGGGCAGGGGTGGTTGGTTCTACAAAGGCTGGGACTGAGGCCCCTGACTAGGACCCTTTGAGTTCTGGTCCAGTTTCTGCACTGTGGGATGCAGATAAGACCTATCTCCTTTCTGGGCCTCAGTTTCCCCTTTGGCTGCAAGGGGAAGGGGTGTCCGTCCCCTCCCCATTCAGTTCCAAGGCTCTGACGGTCAGCCTCGCTTCGCTGCCCAGCGGCTGTCCGGGACTCTGCGCCCCACCCACCGCGATCAGGTATATCCCCGCGCCAGGTCTCCCGTGGGCCGGACAGACAGACCCAGCGGAGGCGGCCCTCCCCGCCCGCACACTGACGGACAGACGGCCGGACGCAACCCGCCCTGAGACAGGCTGGCTCCCTGGCCGCTCCGTCGCTCGCAGCTCAGCGCACTGGCCGCCCCGCCCGCCGCCCTCCCCGGGCGCCCGCATTAAAGCGCATATGCAAGCCATGAATTATCAACTGAAAGGAGTCAATTACCGGCTCTAAAAACGAGTGTCTGCGCCCGGAGCGCCCGGGGCCATCCGCCTATTTACGGAGCGATTTCCCCCGCCCGGCCTCGGGAGGGAGAGACTGGAGAGTCGGGGCCCGAGACCTGGAGGGAGAGAGTGACGACGGGGAGAGAGTGACGACGGGGAGAGAGGCTGGGAGAAAGAGATCCAGAGACCCGTAGAGACAGGGAGAGAGAAACTGGGACGCGAGGGCGAGACCAAAAGCCTGAGATCTAGAGAAACGCGCGGAGAATCAGACAGGCAAAGGCAGCTTGGTTCCTTCTCCCCCGAGCGGGGGCGGGAGAGGTGAAGCCCCAGGACCGCAGAGGCCCGTTCCCTCTCCCCCAGGGTCCAATTCTCTGTGCTGGGGGAGGCTGGACTCCTGGGGCCCTGGGGGTAGATCTGGGGCTCAGAGTGTGATAGGGTGAGGAGCACAGTTTGCAGAGGGGCCTGTCCTGGCAGGACACTGTGTTGTCAGGTCACCAGGAGGAGTGGGTGAAGAGCAGGGACAAAGTGAGGACAGAGCCTGATGCGCGGGTGTCTGTGCGGCCTCTCAGCATTGAAAGAGAAGAGGTGAAACCAACCCCAGTGGACTCAGGAAGTCTTGTCTGCCTCCCAGGTTCTCACCCAAGCGGTTCCCTCTCTGGAAATGCTTTTCCTACTGGGCTCCTACTCATTCTTTGACTCCAGGCCTCCCCAGCTGCTCTGCCTGCCTTAGCCTCAGCACACACCCCATGTTCCATGATCCAGGTGTGAGTTTTCCATGTGATCAGTAAGTACCGTAAGGGCAGGGCCTTGGTTAGTATTGTGCCCTGTGAAGGGAGAGACGTAAGTATTTGCTAAATGAATGGATCAAGGAGTGAGCTGGGCTAGAGGGGACCTTGGTCTGGCCTGAGGATGTGACCAAGGACCAGAGTTTGGATGGGAAAGGCCAAGTCTAAAGCACTCTGTTCTGATCACATGGAAGGCTTCAAGCAACCTTGGTGTTAGGGTGAGTTCACAGTAACTGAGTCCAGCCCTTGCTGTGCAGAGGGTGAGTGAGAGGAGGGCAGGAGCAGTGGCAGGGAGGGGAGGGGTTGGCGGCAGGAGACCTGAGGCCTGGCTCACCAGCACCAGCAAATTCCTGCCAGAGCCCCCAGGGCTCTGTCTTTAGTGCTGCAGGGCCTCTTCTTCTGCAGTGGGTGGGGACAGGGAACCCCCAGGAAGGAGGAAGGAGGAAGGAGCAGGGTCTAAACGGCAGAGGGAAATGTCTAAGCTTAGAAATCAAGCAGAGCCTTTTTCTTCTAGCTGTGTGGCCTCTGATAGCCTCTTAACTTCTGAGCCTCAGGTTCCTTACCTATAAAATGGGGACAGTGCAATCACTTTTACACTGAGTGTAAAATGAGTGTTCTCACATCTGCACAGCACATTCCCTCAGAGGAAAAGACCCTGCCTAAAGTAAGAATAGCTCCCGTCTATTGAGGCTTACAGGTGCCAAGTGCTGTGACTAGTGGGTTATCTTTCTCTTCTTCTCAACAGCTTTCTGAGGTTGTGAAGTCACTTTGCAGACAAGGAAATTCAAAGAAGGGCAGGGTTTGGGAAGTGGTAGCGTCGTTTTGAAGTCAGGTCTGACTCCAGAGCCTCCTTAACCCCCATGCCATGGGGCCTCCCAGACTTGGCCCGTGCACCCCTGTCCTGTTCCTTCA